GCTGCTCTCCTGCCTGCAGAACAGACTGCTGCTCCGCAGGGTCCGCGCGCTCTACGACTGCCAGGCTGACCGGGAGGATGAGCTGACTTTCCGCACAGGCGAGATCATTGTGGTGTCTGAAAAGGAGGACAGCAACTGGTGGGTGAGTGAACCCGCCTGCGCAGGCTGGGGCTGGGGTGCACGTGATCCCCTCTCCATCCACCTCTGGCCTCTGTCCCGTGACTGTCACATCCGCTGTCACCTCCTGCTCTGCATCTGTCTCTGTCTCCCACCTTTTCCTCGGCAACCGAAGGCAGCTGCTCTGGGGCCAGTTCCCCGTCCCTCTGCACACCCCGTGCCGTGCTCACCACTCGTCTCCCTTCCTTTCTGCCCACAGAAAGGGTGGATTGAAGGACAGCCCCACAGGCAAGGTGTCTTCCCCGCTTCATTTGTTCACGTGCTCAACGAGTAGGAGCTGCTTCAATGCAGGAAGAACGATCTGATCAGCTGCTTACAACGCAACTCCCCAAGCTCCGGTCTGCACTGAGGGCCCCGGGACGAGCGGGCTGGGAACACCAGCTCACCCCGCGCGCCCGCTCCTCCCGTGGGCTCCCCCAGAGCGTACACAGAGCAACCCCCATGGATGTGCTCCTGCCCCAGCCACGTTCCCGTGCAGGAGACAGCTCTGGGGCACTCTGCTGCCCAGTGCCCAGCTCCTGCCTTGCCCAGACCTCGCTGCCTGCTCCGTGCTGCTCTCCCAGTGCTGGTGAAAACGATGGCGGAGCGGAGCAGCGCTGTGCCCTGCGCGCTCTGGAGCTGCAAGCGGAGCTGTGCAGGACGCACGTCCGTGGGAAAGGGGCTTCTTCGGAGGGCTGAGCGTGCCGGGAGCCGGGGAACGCGAACCAGCGCTGTGAGCCAGCACCGCCCTGGGCCTGTGCCGTCCCGAATGCCTCCCACCCAGGCTGACTCCAGAAAATGTGCTCGGTGGCAGCTCCTGGCACGGCTCCGTTGCTGCCTGGCCCCCACCCAGCAAAATGGCCCTTTGAGCCCGCTGCCAATAAATACCGGCTCCTCAGTGCTCTGTTCTTCGCAGGGCTGTTCTAGTTTGAGTTTCTAGATACTTCCTCTTCGCCGCTCTCACCCAGGCACCAATCCTTGCTGCAGGCATCGGAGCAAAGAGGGCTGACCTCCCCTTGGATAAAATTACTCACAATTCAGCTTAAAATTGCTCACAATTCAGCTTGCATGGCTTTTCTCCACTGGCTGTGTTTTTCCAGTTGCTGAGGCACATTTCACAGCCTTCCTCTGTCCTCTCTGAGCTAAAATCCCACCCGGATGAGCAAAAGAAACCAGCTGGTGAGGTGCTGGATGCCACTCTCGGAGGAACTTTTTAATGATGAATTTCCTGATTCGGCCCTGGGAACACGGCCAGGGCCTGCAGCTCCGGCGGGACGGTGGCCGCCCCGGCGCTGGGCTGCGCGGGAGGGACGCGCCGG